CATTAAATGTTTGACTTCGTTATTCCACTGCATAAAAGAGAGAGTGGATAAGAAAGGATGGGAGATAAGAAAAGGGTGAAACAAGTGGAGACGGGAGAGAGTAGAGGTAGAAGTCAAGAAGCAAAACCAGGAGGAGAAGAATGGAGAAAGGGGCAGAGGGGAGGAGAAAGGGGAGGACAAGAAACAGCACATCGTAGAGATGGCACAGTATAAGCTTGATTTACCTATTGTTAAACTGCAGATGAAAGGAACAAAAGCAGGAAGACAAAGATCAGTGCAGAGATGGCAGTCATGCACTGATGTGTAGATTTTCAGGTTTGTGTTGCAAGGTGTGTGCTGGGAGGGTGAAGAAGGAGGAGGGAGGGACAGAGGAAGAGCAAAACCACCTGCAGAGAGATGTCTCCCCCTCTTCCCTCAGTCTCTTCCCACTTGCACCGCCCCCAGCCCCAGCCCCCAGCTGTTTTTGGCTCTGTGGGTTCCTAACACATCCAGTACGCCTGCACTGCGTGCTTGGACATCTGGCTCTTGGTGGCAGCTGCTGTGTGCTCTGTGCAGGTTTCCTGCCCCATCACCAGCATCTAGCATTAGAAACTAACGGGATACAATGGTGTGGAAGCTGTGGATGGGGACAGGCACTGGGATGTCCTGAAGGTGTACTTCTCTGAGCCATGAAGTCAGCCAAGGGCTGACTGTTTTGGGACACTGCAAGGAGCAAGGAAGCTGATGGGGCCAGGCAGTCTGCTGCAGAGGAAACCTTGCTGCAGAACATTTCTTTCAGAGTAGTTGAGGGATTCTGGCTGGTAGAGACTTTTGACTGTGTTGGATTAGCAAGTTGTTTAGGGATCTGGGGCAAACCAGTAAAACAGGCTGATGAATCCATGCGGTAGGTGCCAATCTGGGTTGCTGCCTTTTTCAGAAGTAAACAACTAGGAGCCATTGTTCATCTTCCTGACTCTCTGCAGGACACAAGCTGTAAATTACATCTGGGAACAAAAGGTTGATGGGAGTAGAACCGGGTGCCCAACTTCCCAAGGGAGTGCTTTGCCCTCCAGCCAAAAGAGTAGCTTTTCTGGCTTAAACCAGCACAGACTCTTCTTATGCCTTCCCACCAGCGCTCAGAGCCCAAGAAAAGTGTGCAGTACAGGATTTGCTACACTGAAGCATTTACAACCATTTCCATTACAAACCTGGTTTCAGGGTTGATCATGAAAATTAAATCCAGTCTGAAATGTAGCAAATAAGATTGCAGTCTAGGGACACAAGAGGAAATCTTATTAAAAATAACATATCTTTTTGAGATCGTAGTTAAATGGATATAAAATCCTCCCTCCACCCCCGAAACTGCCTTACAGCCCGTCTCACAGGCCAGCTGTAGTCTGTGCAGAATGTACGCTGCCACGACCACAATTACCTAATGAGATTTGTGCTTTTTATATTCACTGAGATTACACTCTTTAGCTCCCCATGAAAAGCTTGACATTTCCACAAAAATGTGTTCAGAAAAGGATTTTTTATTTAAAAAAATAATAATCTGATGATAATAGAAAAAAAAAATTCAAATTATGAACATCCTTTTTGTGTGTTTCTGTTTTTGAAAAAAAAATGCGAGTAATTTTGACAGAAACAAAATTCTATTCTTCCCTCTGTTTCAATTGCTCCCATTTGATAAAGAAACCATGATATCTCTTTTTTCATCGTAAGTTCAGGTATTTTCATTTACTGGTCTCTATGCTTAATAAAATCCAAATAAATATATATTACAGGGACAGGCTGCCATGCTGTGTTTAGTAGAATTTTGTCCTTTGACCTCAGATGGGCCAGAATTTCATCCTCTAAGGGGATTCCATCAAAAACAAAAACAAAACCAAAACTTTTTATATTGCTGTAAGCCACACACGTTCCTTTTCTAGGGCTCCAAACCATGTATTCCCTAACAGGATTTTATCAAAATTAATTGGTGCTGGCTACAGTTCATGTATATGATAAAATCATGAATGAGCTATTTTGGTGCTTCTCTACTACGTTGCACCATCATAGATTCCATATCTGCTTTGTCAAAGGCTTCTCAAAAAGACATTTTGTAAATGCTGGGGCTTTGTTACTGTTGTTGGATTAGTTGTCAGATTCTCTTTTGAAATCACACTTCATTTAGTACCTTTAATTATTTTACAAAATTTTGGTGTCAGGAATTTAACTCTTTGTTGCCAAGGGAGTAAGAAAGTTACAAAAGCTCTGACATTCCACTGCACAGTTTGTGTTGTTAACAATAATGTCATGGAAACAGATGCACAATGGGTATGAACTAATGGCCTCACCTTAAAACAATGGTCAACTGCATTTCCAGCTGAATATTTGCTTCATGATTTTCATGTTCCGTAAGATTATCTCAAGCTAAAAAAAAAAAAATATTATGTATTTCTCCCAATAATAATAATAATAATCTTGCAGGACCCTTTTCCCAGAGATGAACATCTCCTTCAACTAAATTTTCTGGGCAGCATCAGGTTCTGCCGCACCCAGGCTAAATATGGATTGCTGTATACCTCAGGCCAATATGTTTTAGGGGAGAAATTCCATGTCTGGGTGAGAAGGAAGGAAATATTTCCATGTCAGTTTTATTTATTTATTTATCTATTGCAGCTCTTTGAAGTGCTTAGGGGGTTGAAATGCAAGTCTATGTCCTAGGCTAATGCATACACAGGTGGATGGCATGTGAAATAGACAGGCTGACTTGTTATATATATACATTTCAGTAATTATTTCTGTGGTTTATCACATGAAATGACATACTGTGATGAATTATTTTTCTTGTATATATCTGTCTTTCCACTTGCATTAGGTATTATCATATATATGCACCTGGTCTAAACGTGCCTAATCTTAGCCCAATTTCAGAGGACAAGCAAGAAGCAGATTTTCTGAAGTGGAATACCCCCTGTACACACCAAGCACATGCAGAAATGTTGAGATGTCTAAGATGCATATCAAATAATGCTCAGTATTGAGAAAACAACCTGTTCATAGATGTCAGAACAGCTAGAATTAGAAACTTCAGTCCATGAAGAGACTGGGAATTTCCACTTCTGGTAAAATAAGACACCTGCCTCTGTAACATTTGCCCACATCCCTGAAATGAACATTATTCTCCATTTACCCATGGTAAAGAAAACAGACTTCCTTTTTTTGGTTGTTTGTTCCATTTAATTGGGAATAAAGGACATTAAAAAGAGGTATTTTATGTTAATCAAAACCAACCAGCTAACTAATGAACCAAACAGCTGCACTTACAGATAACTAAATTTTAATTAAATATACCATTATTTTGTTTCATACATTGGAGTGAATTTCAAAAGTCATTTATCAATTGAAGAAAAAGATATCCTTAGTAAACTAACAACATGCTTTATCTCTGCTCCAGCATTTTCAATCCCCAAACTTCATTCATATAGTTAGATGCCAGAATACCTGTTGGTATAAACGTACAGGAATTCACAGAACTATTTCTTTTCCACTACTATAAACAGTAAGTCCTATAGGTGATTGTTTTTATTCTGCTCTTTAAGTCATTTTTTTCAAAAGTAAAAGTAACAAATTCACTAAATAAAGTATGTTTCATCTGTAACTTCAAAGTTTCTAGATTCTTAATAAAAAGATGCCCTGGGTTTTAAGGAAAGATTTTTCTCTTTAACCTTGTCCCATCAGATATTCCAGACCTGTAGGAAAAGCCTGTTGGAACATGTTAAAAATTTGGCTGATTGGGGAAGGGATAGCCAGCCATCTTTAAGTCAAAAGTCAAAGAAAAGGCAAAGCGTAACATTCTCGTGCCTGTGGCTGGAAAGACCTGCCTGTATTTTTCCATTGTTCACATTAACAGAGATTAAAAAATTAATGAGAAAATTCTTTAAAGTGGGAGGATCGACACCATGGTAATCCGATACAGGATTTTTCATTCTGAATTTGCTGAGTGAAACCGAAATCGGGGGATTACAGGCTGTCAGTCATTGCCACGTGCTGCTTGCTACAGGTGAGGTGTGCTGGGCTGGGTGAGCCCTCTCCAGCCCCTCCGTCTGCTGCACACAAACGTTTGCCATGACCCCCTAGGAGAGACCTGGACATGGAGACTACGGGAGATTGTTAGGGCACACAACAGATGTACCTTTCTCTTATCTGCAGAGGTTTGAGGTTTTTCAATGAGGGATTTCATGTGGCATCTTTCGCTGATTGTAGAGTCCCACAGAGCCCCACATGGCAATAAACACGTGGCCCTTGGGAACCAGGACTTCATCTGTGTATCAAATGCTGTCACGTGCTCTCATCCTGTTCCTCTGCTTTGTGAATTGGGAATAGGAGGAATAACTCCTTCTCTACCTTGTGTTGTCAATAAAACATTGACCTTAGTCCTCAGTACCACCACTGGCATTAGTTACCACATCTTTGGAGCAGCCTGCGCAGAGGAGCCAAGGGTGGAACGATCCACCTTGATTTACCTGCTGCACGAGGATATCCTCCGGGTACAAGCAGGAACATTTTGGAAAGGTTCGTTGTGGAGCAGGTATTTTTGCTTGCTGTAAATTTTACTGCAAAGTGAGAAAATGATGAGATGGGACAAAACAAGCAAAATGTTTTGGGGAAACATCCAGGCAGCTGTAGGTTCTTTGCTGGGGTTTTGAAGCTCTAGTGCTTTAGTATGTTTGCCTGGTTTGTATTAATGCTGTTTTAAAATGCAGGAGGGGGAGCTTGTAGCAAACAGTGCCTTCCTGCTACCTCCTGAGAGATTATACACGTTTTCCCGTAAGCATGATAAATATAACTTTTGACTGTACTGGTGTGTAAGAATAGGAGGTTTAGTGCCTCTTTAAAACTCATGTGGCTGCTTAGTCAGTACTAGGCGCCCCCCCCACCCCCCCCCCCCCCGCTGCTCCCCCTTTCGCTGCCCAGTAAGTTTGTTGCAATATGGGTGTGACTTTTGATGGAGCTCCCCCTCCCTGTTATGTCATTACTCCAGTTCCTTTGAATCAGAATAAAAAGTGCAGCAAACTTCAGACTCATTGACTGCAGGCTTAACAAGCGCCGGGGCTTTTCTTCTTTCCGCAGCTTGCAAGGATCTCTGTTTTTTACCAAACAATTCTGAGAAAACAATGGCCAGCTTCTACGTGTGGGCAACTTTTGGATTATGTTTGCTGAAGCTTTGTCTAACAGAGACACGTAAGTTTTGTATGAATGAAAACATTTACGATTGTCAATAAGTTTATGCTTCAGACAACAACAGCTCTTCTGCTATATAGCTAAAAGCTTCCTTGCATCTATCTTTGTATAAAGTGTTACTATTTATGGGAGTTATCAGAGATGCTTTAGAACTGTAACTGCAGCTGTGCCGCTCTGTACAATCGCAGAAAGCTGTGTATTGCTTGTAAAGGGCAATTCCAGATCCATAAAAAGTGAGTTGTAGAGCGTTAAAGTTTAAACTGAGAACAGAGGTACACAAGGGAATTTAGAATAGCTCTGGTATAGCTCGGTTCGACAACGTGACTGCTGTTACATACTTATGTCGCTCTCCTAGCTCTGTTTTAGAGTGGGGTGTGGGGGAACCCCCTCCCCAGCATATAGCTGTATTCTTGAGTTCAGAGGGGCTGAACTAACAGCTAATGCAGACTGCATTTGGACACAGCTTTGCTGAACAGAAACAAAACTGCAGTGATCTGTGTGACTGGTATTTGGAGAGCTTTTATGCCAGGCATGCCTGTTTCTAACTTAAGGTTTCTTTGGGGTTGACTGGTGAGACTTTGGAACAAAGGGGGGTTCAAGCGCCTGCAAAATTTGTTGTTTATCAGCTAGCTTTCTGTAGCTTGGTTGTCTGCTTCAAATATTTGCATTTAAAAATGAAACATTCATGTAGGGGAAAAAATAATAATTGTATGTCCAAAATGACAAAGTGCTCTGGAAATTTGACATGGTGCAGGCTCACCCGTGTCTGAGGGAAATGGCCATGCTTTTAACAGACTCTCATTGTGACAGCAACAGCCTTGAGGCATTTTGTGGTTAGGGGTAACAATTATCCTTCTACATTATTTTTCCACTCATCAGTTCCAGGAGACTAACAAAGTACATTTTTCATTGCCATTGTCACCCAAGGGCTGTGTGTGTGTGTACGGTACATATATATCCCATTTGCCTGAGCAGCAGTGGATACTTCTGTAATGGTTGCAGCGCGGCTGGGCTGTGGATGGGTGTGTCAGAGTGAACAGTTCCCGGCGCATCTGGGGTAGCTGGAGAGCCCTCATTGCTTTCTTCCTAAAATTGCCTACCCATTGTACTGAAATATTCTTGTTAAAATCAGGTATATGGATAAAGTCCTTAGAGAAAGTACATGAAGGATATCCGACGTGTTTAAAACTTTGACTTACTCCAGGTCTGTATGCTGTAGAAGGATTATAATGGTTTGGTTACCGCCCGCTCAACTGATTTCTCCTTTTATGAGCTGCCAGGAGTGTCCTAAAGAAGCAGGTTTTGTAGTGACTCTGGAAGTAATGTATTTTTGCAGTGAGACATAGAAGAAAACCCTACTACTTCAGCATAGTTACAAGAAGTATGTCAGACTTCACATATGCCCCACGGGGAAGTTTCTTTAATGGCTTAGCAAGGTATTAGATTATAGCTACAATATATTTTAGTTGGTATGCGGTACATTCCAGCATGACTTTGTAGTCGGTAATGACTTCAAAATGGCAGTTGATGGTGGTTTTATTTTATTTTATTTATTTATTTATTTATTTTAAATCAGTGACTTTCCTGCGTGCATCACAGAATACTGGCCACTGATGTTGGATCATATTTGTTGGAAGACCAAATTCAGATCTGTTCCTGGATTCTTATTCTGTTAGTGCTGATTATGGCAAAAATAAAAACATCCCAGGGTTGCTGTTAATGTGAATGCTAAAGGAAAGATGAGATATAGAGATCTGTTGAAAAACTGATTCATCCCGAGTTCTGTGTTGCTGTGACCATAGTGTCATTGATATTTCAGCGAGGTGTACTCACGATATTGATGTGACTTTTGTTGTCTGCGTAGTCTGAGCCACATTTCAAACCCCAGGAGTATATGGAGACTGACATCTTGGTTAATGATGATTCTGGAGAGATTTTCCCCTGTGGATATTATGTACTTGTAAAAATATTTCTCTCAAAGTTTTCCTTGATTAACACAAAGTGACTCATGGAATTTTGACCCCCAAACTGAAAGAAACTAGAATAGAAGTAGGAGTAAAGATGGAATGAAAAGAGGAAGAATGAGTCCACCAGTGGGAGGGAGAGGCTTATGTATCAGCACTGGAGAGGTGGCCAGAGTCTCAGGACAAGATAGGGCTCTGAGGAAGGGCTACTATAGCAAACAGTCAGTCACAAACAAAGGGACCTTAATGCCTCTTAGCTTATGTATGTCATGTAAATTTGTAAATAAAGTAGTTTGAAGAAGCTCTCTGTGCTAGGTTTTCTAGGTTTTTGTTTGTTTGTTTATTTTTTTTTTTTTTCACTTAGTCCTTACAGTGTGTGTCTTGGCTGTTCTCCCAAAGCTGCAAAGAAACTGCACTTTATTAAAGTTCTCTTGGACTTCCATCACTGCTTAATGGAAAGGTTATATATTTGTCCTTGAACAGCTTACACACACACACAGACACAGGCAACAAACCATAGCACAGGAATGTCTTGCAGTCTTTGGAGAAACGTTTGTTGCATCTTTAGTCACCGGTATTCACCACAATGAAGAACCTTTACCTTGAAAACAGGAAGTCGGAGAAAGGCTTAATGAGGGAAGATAGCATCACAGAAGTGAGGTAGAACTTCTAAAACTAAACGCTATTAAAGTCACTGGTAGCTCTAGCCAATGTCAAATGAAATGTTCCCCCATACCCAGTGTGTCTTTCTTTCCAGAACTGTTCCCATGACTTTTATAGGCCAGGACTTGAAGACAGTACTAATACTGTTGTTATTTATCTAGAACCTAAACATGCATGAGGTTCTACTGCAGTAAGAATGTGCCAGTAGGATGAGGCGCCCTGAGATGCTGATAGACAAGTATAAACATCAGAGAAAATGAGCATGAGCTCATTAATGCAAAAACACTTTACACTGTGGAAAAGATGGGCTCTCAAGAACCTCATGAAGTGGTTAAAAAATGCTTTCATTAATGGACAACTGCAAAAACATTTCAAACGAAAGAACACATGGAAGAGAGCAGGAAAATATAGTAAAGAAAAATGAAGGTCTCAAAGCAATATTTGGTTGTGTGACAAGGAGCAAAGTGGATTGCAGGAAACAACTAACATTGGTTATATACACAGCATGAAGTCTCAAAGAATTTTAAGTTAGAGAAGAAACCTGAAAAGTATCCAAGCAAAAAAAATAGCATAAATGTCTACGCAGATTTCAGTTAATTTGGGAACCAAATAAGAAATTGGGAAAAATAAGAAATGAGGAATAAAATAAGCCTGCAGCAGCAATCAAGTTAACGTATAACAGGAGTGGAGTCTGTGGATATGTGAAAAGTTAGAAGAATAAAAGCTGCACTTTTGACATGGCAGAGGAAAAATAAGATACGAAAACTGTGGCATATATGTTAATTAAACTGTAAAGGGCAAACAATTCAAGATGGCAATGTTCTTGCCAAAGAAGAGATGGTATTCATAGGGAGCGGCTAGCAGCAGTAGCTAAGTTTGAAAATAGGTTGCTAAGAGACATTGATTTTAAGGAGCAATTAGATAAAGGCAGATTAGATAAACAGCTTTAAAGGTTTTTGGTATTGGTGATCATGCTACTGGGTCAGAAGATGGAGTCTAAGACATCTGGTAACTGTGTTTTTTCTTTGATAAAAGGTTAATTTTAGTTCTGAATGTAGATGACTGGTAGTGGAATACATTGTAGAGAAGCAGGGGAAAAAATGATGTAGTGCTCCTTATATGAAGAGAGGAAAACTGTGCCCAAGAACTTAGACGTTTTGGGAAATTCCAGTGATGCTGTAACAAGGTTTCCCCACTTGCTTTCTGGTCTTCTTGCCCTGCGTTTCTGTTCTGACATTAACAGACAAGTGTTTGAAAATGAAGTTAGGACAGAAGAAGGCAATTCTCAATTTCATATAACACAGATTGCATTATTTACAAAAACATGTAAAAACATTCCCTTTTAAAGATTTTTCTTTAAAAGGAAATCCTATAGAAGAGAGGTAGGGAGTGTTTTCTGCTGAACTGTTCCCTAAAATTGCTTTTCCCAGGACCAAGTCTAAATGTACGTGGTTACCTCACAGAGAGGATAATTGTGAAACAAACATGACCAACTGCAGTAGTTTTGCCTACTTTGAAAAGAATACAATGCTGTACTGGAACAATTCATGGTGTTTGAAACACATGATATTATAGCATCAGCTGATAACCAAGAGCATGTTTTAATCACGTTTCGGTTTTTGGCACTGAATGGAATTCTTAGACTACAGAATCTCATTATTATGGTTAAAGGCGAGCAAAGTGAGAGAAGAAAGACAGAGGTTGGGATTGTCACCAATACCTCTGTGCTAAATATGCCATGGTTGATACCGGGTGAAACCACACCTACAACCTACTTATATTTTGCCTTTGCCCATAAGGCTTTTTATGGTATATCTGGTGGTTTAGACCATTCTCTGTGGGCTATTAACTGGAAGGGAGAAGCCAGTTTGGAGCAGCTGCTCGCCATCTTCCAGATTGTGCCAGAAGTTCACCAGCGGTTACAATGCTGTTGTCTGTCACTCCCAGGGAGGTAATAATCATTTCAAAGCCAGGCTCACGGCCATCAGACGCTGTAATTATCAGTGACCATTATGGCTGCTGTTAATACTGGTGGCAGAGAAGATTGTTTCAGCCCTGAATGTTTATCAACTTCCTCCCTGTGAAATCACAGGCCTCTCTACGGCAGCATCAGCAGTAATATCAGTAGCAGCTGGCGGTGATTTTCTTTTCTCGCTGTGGCTGCCAGGGCCCACCCCACCCAAGGCATGGTGGAGAAGCTCAGCGCATGGATGAGTTTGCAGGCAGCCATGTGAAACAGCAACCGGCAGAGGAGAGAGGGGTTTTCCTCGGAGAGTCCTGTCAGTCAGACTGAAAGTTCAGCTAATTGCGATTTAAAGTTCAAGCCTCTGCAACTGTTTGCTGCCTAAAGAAATCTGCTGTCATTTTTGGAGT